AAATGATTTTAAAGTAAATTTTTTGCCATTCTTATTTTCTTTATGTAATATTTGTTCATATTCTTTGCTCATCTTTCTGTTCATTTTTTCCTTATAAAACTGTAAGATCTCTTTATGTAATAAAGAAGTATGTACATTTTCTCCTAAGTTGCAAATAATTTTTTCCTCTGTGCTATTTGTCTTTTGCTGTATTTACTGTATTTTCTTATTGTTGCTATATTCACTTTTACCATATAAAAATTTCAAACGTTCTACATCAAAACATTTATCAGCATTTTTTCTTTTTGGTTTCTGAGTTTTGTCTGTTTTAAATATTAGCTTTCATGCAAGAAGAGTCTCTGCAGTTGCCATTTTAATGCACCAGTGTTTGCTTTGAATTCTTCTGCATGGTATGATACAAGTTAAAAAACTAGGCTTTGCTGTGGAAAGAGGAAACTTACAATGTCAAGGCCATTGAGAGAAGGGAGGGCACAGAGACCCCATCCTCTTATTGTCCCTGGCTGACCTGCTGGCCTTGCAGAATGATTTGTATTCCAGGAAAGGGAACTTTGCCCCTCTTTTGGTCCTTGTATGGAACAAGTATGAGAGTAGCCTTATCAGTGAATGGAAAAATCAGACTGTCTTGGCACCAGGCAGCCCAGATTTCGGTGCCAGCTATTCGCCAGAGTTGTGTGGGAAACACGCACAAGCTGCCCTGCACCTAGACTTTTGCTCCTGTAGGATGTCACCCAAGAAAGGAAGCTAGTGGTCCCATGGAAGCTGAACTTGTATAGTTTCTTAGGCTGGGAGCAGCCCTTTTCTTCAGCACCAGGGCCCCATACCTTGTTTGAGCCACTTTATTGTCCAGGCATCAGAGAAGGAGCATCCAGATTCATTTAAAACAAGCCTGCTCCTTGTATTACAATACATTAATGATAAATCAGGCATTGAAGATGAGATTAACTCTTTTTAAAGTTACCCCCAACTTCATATTTAAAAAAAATTTAAACTCAAAAGATTGAAAGAATGATACAATGAATACTTCACCAATTGTTAACGTTTTGTCGACTTTGCTTTATCTCTTTCTATAAATATACATTTTTATCCATTGAAGCATTTGGAAGTAGGTTGAATACCTTATGGCAGTTCATTCAAAATAATTCTGCACACATCTCCCGAGAATAAAAGCATTCACTTATATAATATAACACTGATACAATTTCTCAGACCTAGGAAAATTAACACTTCAATATATTTAATTCCACATTCATATTCCCTCATTGTTCCAAATGTCTTTTATTACCATCTTTTTATGTTTGAACCAACATCTTTTTTAAAAAAAAATATATTTTATTGATTTTTTACATAGAGGAAGGGAGAGAGAGAGAGCTAGAAACGTCGATGAGAGAGAAACATCGACCAGCTGCCTCTTGCACACCCTACCAGGGATGTGCCCGCAACCAAGGTACATGCCCTTGACTGGAATCCAACCTGGGACCTTTCAGTGCGCAGACTGACGCTCTACCACTGAGCCAAACCGGATTCGGCTGAACCAACATCTTAACAAAGTCTACATATTACATTTGATTCTATTCCTCTAATCCAGTGCCCCAAAAGGACATTTAGCATGTCCGGAGATACTTTTGATTATCATAGCTGTGGGTGCTAATAGCCTCTAGTAGATAGAAACCAAGGAAGGATGCCTGCTAAGTATCTTACAGTACACAGGACAACCCCCAACAAAGAATTACTTGGTCCAAAATGTCAGTGGTTGCTGAGATTGAAAAACCTTGTCTATATGAAATAGTCTCCTTACTTTTTGTTGCTTTTCGTGACATTGACTTGTAGTGTCCAGGCCAGTTATAAGTAGAATGTGCCACATTCTAGATTTTTTTTTTATTGTTTTCTCATGATTAGTTTCCATTTAAACATATTTGGCAAGAATAGTGTATAAGTCATGCAACAGTTAACTATTACTGCCTAACAACTCACCCTAAAACTCAGTGACATAATATTAACAGCCATTAGCTAAGTCATTCTGTTGATCTGGGCTGGGCTCAGCTGACTTTGGCTAGACTCATTCATGAATCTGCAGTCATTTGGTAGATTGACTAGGAGCTGGCTGGTCTAGGATGACCTCAGCTGGGATGACTTGGCTCAGCTCCATTCACCTATCACACTGAGCAGGCTATTCTCATGGATGAGACAGGGGTCTGAAAGATGATGGAAGAGCGCAAGATCTTTTGAAGCCCAGGCTTGGAACTGGCATTCTGTCACTTCCACTGCATTGTGTTGGCTAAAGAAGGTAACAAAGCCAGCATAGATTCAAGTGGTAGAGAAATAAACTGTACCTTTTAATGGGAATTGCTGCACAGTCATTGCAAGGGGTGTAGATAAGGGAAGTGTGAATCTGGGCCTGTTGCAATCAGTCTATTAAAGTGATATTGCATATCTTCTATTGACCTAAGTCTCAAGAACAGTTTTTCTTTAAATATCTTTTGGGGAAAAGCCAGTTTGTCAGTTTTTTAAACAATGCTGTGGGAAGGTGATCCTATCTATTCAAATTAAGAGAACATCTTTTGGGGAGATCTTTTTCATTTTACACAGTCTTCAGAATAGGCTCAGCTTTATTGCAAACAGTGCACTCATTTTTTCCATAAATTGTATTGAATACCTACTATGTCATACACAGTGTTCTAGGCACTTGGAAGGATAGGTGAAAGGCAACTACATTTGCAAATGACACAGAGGTTTAGAAGTAGGTAAGTACTAATGAAAAATATAAACTAAGCAGAGGTATAGAGGAGAGGATTGCAATTTTAAGTAGGGCTGTCATCATTTAAAAGGTGATATTGAGCAAAGACTTGAAGAAGGTGAGGAAATTGGTCATGTGGCCATCTGGGAGAACAAGAAATACGAGGCCCTTGGGCAGGAGTGCGCTTGGCCTGCTAGGGACACAGCAAGGAGGCTAGTGTGGCTGGAGTGCAGTGAATGAGGGGAAGTATTTTATTTATCCAATGGACAATTAAATAGCCCTCTCTAGTGACCCCTCCCTCTTTGGAGCACACTCCCCCCCACCTTTCCCCTCAAGGGGCATACCTTTGCCTTATCTCTATATCTCTAGCTCTATCTCTATCTCTATCTCTAGCTCTAGCTCTAGCTCTAGCTCTATCTCTAACACTATCTCTACCTCCTAAGCTCCAACTGTCCTTTATAACTTGCTTCCTGAGCCCACGCAGTCCCAGCCCTACCGGCTCACTTTTTCTGCCTCTGTGTCTTTCTAAATAAACTTTCACTTGTATTTGGGGGAGGAAAAAAAAATAGCCATCACTAGTAGCACTTGAAAATGTTAACTCATCCTCCCAATAAATATGTAAAGTGGATGCTGTTTTTCTCTTTTTTAGGCAAGGAAACCAAGACACAGGAAAATTAAATAACTTCCCCCAAGTCATATAACTACCAAGTTATAGAGCCAGGACTGCCTCAGACAGTCTTCTCTAGAGACTTAGGGAGCTTTTTAGCAGACAAGTTGTGCTGCCTCCTAATAGTAAGAGATGAGGTCTAGTAACTGGGGGCTAGATCCCATAAGTCCTTAAAGGCCGTTGGTAAGGATTTGAGTTTTTATTCTGAGGGATATAAGTTTTAAACAGAAGAGTGATATGTGTTTGTTTTGTTGTTCCAGAAATTTTCAAAGCAGTTATGTTACTTAAGGTATGTGTTACTTTTAGCATTTAATATACTGGTATAAATTCAAAAGGATAACTGTTTATGGGAACAAAGAAAATTTGATATGTATAATTTAGAGATGTTATTCTATCAAATACTATTTGTGTAAGGTTAATCTCTTCTATTTTTAAAGTCTTACATAAGTATTTCTAGATCCTCTTTATTGTGAGGATCTAGAAATACTTATGTACTTGGCTACACATTTTGGGAGGCACCAAGGCAAAGTGATGAGTAAAAAAACTTTGTTTTCCTACTTTGAAGGGGAGGGGGAATTATAAGAGCAAATGGACTAGCTAAGATATGTCCTAGATACATACCAAAGAGGGTGGGTCAGCAGGGCTGCCTTTTTGGGGCTTAATGTTTCAGCACCTTATTGTGGGCCACACACCTCCCATGGGGCTCCATGACCTCCAGTGCAGAGTGACCCAGAGGCACCTGCCCTTGAGAGTATCTAAAGGACTCTGGCTCAAGCCATCCATCCTGCTCAAGGAGCATTTAGGAGCAGCACAGGCAGAGTCAGTCTGGAGAAGAGAAAGTGTTGAAAAGATCACATTTACCCAAGAATGACATTAATGATCGTAATAATTACCACAATATAGTCAGCATTTAGTGCAGGCCTAGCATCATGCAAAATGCATTACAAGCATGAGCTATATAGTAAACTAAGGCTTAAAGAGATTCACTAAATTGTCCAAGATCATATAGAGCTGGGACATAAGCGCAGCTCTACTTGTCTCCAAAGCCCATATCCCTGCTCATTTATTCTCTATTGTCCAGGTCAGGAATAGAATTCTCTATGGCTCTTCCTTCTGTAACCATCAAGAAGGTTAACAGTGACTCTCGGGAGGTGGTTCCAGGTCTGAGTTTCCAGCTGCCTGTTTGCACACAAGTGTAAGTTTCAGCCTTCACCTTTTTTGTACTGCTCAGTTTTTTTATGTACCTCATCAATTTTCTTATCATTTCTCAAGTTCTCAGTTCCTTGTTCTGTCTCAGCCACCACGGCAAACTTGCTTTGTTTGGGCCCACATAGTCCTGCTACTGTATCTACCATTTCCCAGCCTGCCACTGCCCCCTTGGCTGCCACTAAATAATCACCAGGCACATGCCATGAATTGTCTCACTACTCACAATTATGATGAAAGGCCATACCACAGAGCATTGGCTGTGGCTTGCTGAAAGACTAACAATGGGAAAATATGACATAACCTAGAAGTATGAGGATAATAACCGAAATAGGAGATGGGAGGGAACCACAAAGGGGGATTCATTTTCCTGCGTCCCTCCCAAGAACTTACCTGAGCATGTTTTCACCATATAGCATGTCTGGAGATACTCTGCTTGGACATGAAGGCATACCTACTGTCTCTGCAGATTGTCCAACCATCATCTTGCATTGTCATCTTTCTCTGTTTCTCTTCCCTTTTTGTCTCACTCTCACTGCCCTGGGATTGCATCTCCTAAATAAAACATTAGTATTAATTCTTGGTTGGAGGTCTATTTTTCTAGAAAACATAGGCTAAGATATCAATTTCTCCCATTGGTACCACCACTTCCTAAATTCTCTTGGCTCAAAGTCAAGCTTTCAAGAGATAGTAATATCTGACACTATTGTCATTTTTTATCGGTATACATGATAGAATTCATGTATTCCTCCAAAAATAAAAATAATTGAAAAGATCCCTGATAGTGAAAAGATTCTGAACCAGTAGCTCAAAATTAGCATCAACCTTAAATCCACTCATATCCTGAGTATCTCACAACCAGCTTTTCCTTTCCTTTCCAGCCATGCCCTGGTTTGGGTCCCCAGTATTCTTACTTGGAGTGGACTATTGAACACGTTCACAATTTGTCTTTCTGTTCCCATATTCTCCTACTCATGATCTAGTCTGAGTATCACTGCCATCAGATAAATAGTCCTAAAAGCTGATTTTATCTTGCTCCCCTATATTGAAAAACTTTCAGTAATTTCTCACTAACCCTAGAATAATGTGTAAAGTTTCTTCTAAAACTAATCTTCACTCAAGGCCCTTTACAAGCCGGTGACCAGTGACTTACATTTCCAGCTTTACTACCAACTATAGTGTTTCTCTATGCGGATTACACCACCAGCTATTCTGGGCTGCATGCTTTTCTCAAACATATGTTGTACTTTTCTAAGACCATCATGCCTCCGCAATGGACTGGACAATAGAAGTATTTGTGGGTTTTGGTACCTCCCCTTACCCTTCTGGGGAAGTATCAGAATGCCTCCCATAACTACCTCCTAGGGATTTTTAATAGGATACAAAATTATGTGTCCATAAATTCTACCATCCCAAACAAAACCATTTAGTCCAGGAGCAAGAGTCAGTGGTTCTCAACCTTTCTAATGCCACGACCCTTTAATACAGTTTCCTCAGGTTGTGGTGACCCCCAACCATAAAATATTTGTGTTTTCCATTGGTCTTACGCGACCCTGTTATTGGTTCTCAACCTGTGGATCACGAACTGCTGCTGTAGAGCCTAAGATCATCGGAAAACACAGATATTTACATTATGATTCATAACAGTAGCAAAATTACAGTTATGAAGTAGCAATGAAAATAATTTTATGGTTGGGGGTCACCACAACATGAGGCACTATATTAAAGGGTCACAGCATTAGAAAGGTTGAGACCACTGAGCTAGAGCCTAACCTAGGCCAATAAACCTATCTATGTGGATGTGATGCCTTATCAAAGAAGCTCCACCTTACAGCCTGCACTTGATGGTGAGCAGCCAACCTAGTCTGGCCCTTTGGGGAAGCTAATAGGAAGTACAGGGGCAGAGTCATCAGTTAGCAGGAGGGAGAAGCTAAAAGATACACATGTAGCAGCAGAAACCAGGAAGCAATAGAAGCTGTGAGATAGAGAAAGAACTAGAAAGTACTTAACAGCAAGGGCAGCAGCAGCAGAGTCATAATAATAGCAGAGAGAGAACAAAGCAACAGATATTACTGCTGAAGAACCCACGAGGTAACCAGCTGTATTGTGTGCTGACTCATCTTCCAGTTCCCACTGGACATTACTTAGATTGCAGCAACCTGAGTCTCTCTGTGTTCTGGAAATTAAATTTTTGCCTCCGGCATCTCTATCAGTCAATATCATAGCAGGAAACGAAAGGCAACTCAGCTGGGGTTTTGAAAATAATTGAAGACACTATTTACAAGGATGTAGGCAGGTTTGCAGGGAGGGAGGAGGAAAATGGAGGTGCCCGAGGACTAGCAAGAGCAGAAATCCAGGGCTGAAGAGACGAGGGAAGGAAACTGTGGCAGTGTGATGGGAGTCTAGAAAGAGCTGGAGTCTGGAGGAGCATGGCTGCCGCCAGAAACACGTGCGAACGCTGGGAGAAAGAGGCCTACCAGTCTCTTTTCCCTGTATTCTCTGCTACTTGCTGATGCCTCTTACTGCCCAAACCCTACAGTAAGAAAGAAGGCAGGAGAGCCGCCGGCAGCATAGCTCAGTGGTGGAGCATTTACCTATGAACCAGGAGGTCACCGTTTGAGTCCCAGTCAGGGTTGTGGGCTTGATCCCCAGTATGGGGCATGCAGGGGGCAGTCGATTGATGATTTCTCTTATCACTGATGTTTCTATCTCTCTCCTCTCCCTTTCTCTCTGAAATCAATAAAAACATGTTTAAAAGAAGAAGGCAGGAGATGTCAGGTGTGGATAACAACCTCATGAGGTGCAGAACGCAGAGGGATGGGGGTGAGGGAGAGCTATCATGGGCTGACTAGTAGTCTCTCCAAAGCAAGGGGGAGGGCGGGGAGTATGTCCATGCCCTAATACCCAGAACCTGAGAACACTACCTTATCTAGCAAAAGAGGTGCTTAAGTTTAGGATCCCGACTAAAGGAATGTATCCTAGTTTATTTTGGTGGGCCCTAAACTGCAATCTTATGTATCCTAACAAGAGAAAAACAGGGGTAGTTTTGAAAAAGGGAAAGGAGGAGGCAATGTGACTTCAGAATCAGAAATTGGAGTGAAGTAGCCTCAAGCCAAGGAAAGCCTGGAGCCTTCATAAGAGGGAAAAGGTGAGGAACAGCCTCCCCTAGAGCCTTCTAAGGGACCGTATGGCCCTGCCACAACCTTGATTTTGGTTTCTGGCCTCCAGAACTGAAAAAGATAAGATTCTGGGCTTTTCTGTTTGTTTGTTTGTTTGTTTGTTTTTGTTTTTAAATATATTTTTATTGATTTTTTACAGAGAGGAAGAGAAAGGGATAGAGAACTAGAAACATCGATGAGAGAGCAACATTGACCAGCTGCCTCCTGCACACTCCCCACCGGGGATGTGCCCGCAACCAAGGTACATGCCCTTGACCGGAATCGAACCTGGGACCTTTCAGTCCTAAGGCCAACGTTCTATCCACGTTTCGGCTTTGTTTTTTAGCTTAAACAACAGAAATTTATTTTCTATAGGGTAGAAGTCTGAGATCAAAGTGATAGTAGGGCTGGTTTCTTCTGAGGCCTCTCTAAAATTCTGTGGTTTTTTTTGTTTGTTTTTTTAAAGCCACCCAGTTTGTGGTCATTTGTCACAGCAGTAACAGGAAAGTAATACAGGGACCAGCCAAGTGGAGAATTACCAGCATAAAATCTATTCAACTCTGGATGCCAAATTGAGCACAGTAATGCCCTGATCACCTTTGCTGGGAATTCTTTTGCCTACCTTCTTTATTCACATTGGTACTTCTTTCTGGACAACTCATATGATTTAAGTAAAATGCTTCCACATTATAGTTACTTTTGCATACAAATATCTTTTCATCCTAATCCGATGACCGAATTCTTGTTGAGAACAAGAACCTTGCCTTGTACATCTTTGTAGGCCATGAAAACCCTAGCCCAGTACTTTGAACAGAGTGGATAGTCTATAATTGGTAAATGAGAAAGAAAGAAAGCTTCCATTTGTCCATCTGTAAATGGAAAAGCAACAATTTCCACTGATTTGCCTTTCAGAGAAAATAGTGGTGGTGTTTCCTGGAAACACTTTCTGTACCTGTAACAAAATGATAGATCTGAAACACCGGCTCCTGCTCGAGCAGTGCCTCAGAAAAAAAATTACATTTTGTTGCAGCTTGTCCTCCATTTCATGTGGCGCTGAACCTGCTTGCAGTCATCCCCAGGAAAGGGCAGGGCATCCTCAAGAAAATGTAAGAGCTGAATATTGGTGTGCTCTCAGGAATTTGATTCACCCCGTAAATATTCATCAAAGAACTATTACGTTAGAGTAGAATCCATAAATGCTGGAAAAATACAAACACACAGAATAAGGCATGGTCCCAAGTAATTGCTACACAATGTGATGAATGCTTTTCATAAAGAACAAGATACTACGGGACCAGATTAAGTCTATGGATGGGAATTTCACACACACACATAACACACAAAAAAGTCACTTTCAAGCTAGTTTTTTAGAACTTCCTCAGGCCCAAGCAAAGTCAGAAGCACTGGGAACCAAGAGAAATAACTTTGCCAAGCAAACCACACCCTCAGCTCAGCCCTATTGTATCTGACCTTATTTTTTATTCATCACCCGCATAGCTAGGTAGTAAGAAAGGAAGAGAATTCGGACTGCTTCCTACTTGGCATCTATTATAGTTTCGCATCAAAGAAAGGAGGGTATCAGGAGGAAAAGTAGAGGTTGACCTCTTACAAGCTCCATAATGACAAGTCCAAATAGCCATGCGATAATGAGTTAATACACACTCTTACCTTTCCTGAGCTTCTACCTCAATTCTGAAAACTGAGGGGGGCTCCCCTGTGAGCCTATGGGGTAGCAGGGCATGAATAACTCAGAGGAAAGCAGGCAAGGAATGAGAGCATCTCCCTTTGTCTCATTACCCCAAACGAGGAAGCATCTCTTTGTGGCAAAAGCCCCCTTGAGTGGGAATAATGGCTGAGGCCCTTTTTCCTGCCATAGACTGACCTTCAGATCACTCCTTGGGGAACTGCTCCGTCAGGGGCACCGCCCAACATCTCTCCCTAGTCGGCCCTTCTAGGCCTCTGAGACCAGTGCTGTGTTGCTTACGAGTGGGAGGAGAAAACGCCTGGGAAAGCAGCCAGGAGAGAGGGAAAGACTGACCTAACCCACCAAGGGGCAGTGGGTTCCCCCATCCTCACCCTGTCGCTTCCACTGGAAAACGAGGAAGCTGAGAAACCAGATTCCAGCCTCCCAGCACAGATCGCTTGTCCTTGTTTTCTTAAGAAGCCTCTACCTCCCAGACCTTGCCAGGAAGCCGGCGGCATTTTCATGAAGCAGTAATAACAAGGACAGAGCGTTCTAGCCTGCCGGAGCCTGCTGGCTGGTCACTCTTTCCACTGCCTTTTGTTTTCATGCATCATTCCCTCACTTGCTTCTCAGATTCCTCAGGGCTTTGAAAAAGCCACAAATGCTCCACACAGTGACACCACCCAGAGGGCTGGCAGACATCACTGTCACGC